ACCACTAATCTCTTTCGCCATCACCATCCCCACCACCACCACCACCATCATCTCTTATCCACCACCTTCACTACTACTGCCACTCCTTTTCCTCTACCACAAAAAATTAGTTCATAATTTTTAGTAATAAAAAAAAATAGGCCGCAGAAAAATATTTTTCATTGACTACAGAAAATTAACTTTTATTTTAGTGAAAATATTTTTCATTAAAATATATATGAAACAAATCAACCTTAATAACGGAAAGAAAATAAAAATTATTATTTATTTATTTTTATTATTTAAATATTTATTTATGATGAATTTTTTTTTTCCCATCCCGCCCGCTCGGTTCCCCCAATTTTTTCCATTCTCGCGCCCCAAAATCCCCAATCTCTTTAGAACCAAAAAAACCCCTAAATCTAATCGTCTCCCTCACATCACTCTCTCAGTCGTCTCTCTCTCTCTCTCTCTCTCACCCTCTCATTTATCTCTGCACCGATCTCGTTCATCTCTGCACCGATCACTCTCTCACTCTCTCGTTGTTCATCTCATCGATTCGCACCGATCATCGCACCGCCGATCTACTCACAGGTAAACTCTCTCTCTTAATCTCTGTCTCTCTCTCTCTCGGCCTGATGGTTATTTTATATATATATATATATCAGATATATCTCTGATCTAATCTGTCTCCCTCACTCTCTCATCTCATCAGATCAGTCTCATCTTTGTCCCTCCCTCTCTCGCCCCGATAGACTCACACTGTTTCACAGGTAAGCCTCTCTCTCTCTCTCCCTGATCTCTCATCTCTGCACTGCACCGATCGAATCTGTGTGTGTAATGTCTCCCTCATTCAGTGATGTCTGTAATGTCTGTATGTTAATCTGAATCTGAAATGTTGATCTTAGTTGATCACACTGTGTAATCTGAAATTTGATCTTAGTTGTGTCTCACACTGTGTAATGTTGATCTTAGTTGTGAAATCTGAAATCTGTATGTTAATTTTATTAATTTTGAAATCTAAATCTGAAATATGAATTTGTTTTGTTTGATCTGAAAATTGATTCTGATTGTTAATTGATAAACATGCTATCTTTGTGATGGGTTTGAATGTTGTATGAAGAATTTTTACATTTTTTTTTGTAGACAACATGGATTCTACTTACCTGATGAAGTAGTTTTCTTTTTCTTTTTCTTTAGACTGTGAACCCTGGTTTAGAATGATGTGATGGTTAAATTTGTTTTAGTGTTCAACTTTTCTCCAATAAGCTAAATGGTTTAATCCATTAATTGTAAGAGATCTAGAAACCAATTACAAGATTGTCAAACCTAGTTTGTTTAAAAGTTGGAAGAGGAAGGATTAGATTGTTAATCCGCGAATCTCACAAATATATATGTTTAGTTTAAAAAAATTATTATAAACTAAAAATTATATGAGATTATGAAACTCCTTTGAAGTGAGGATTAACAATCCCTTGCGAGTTTTGGGTTTGTTAATCCAATTTCATCCCGTGGATTGGAAATGATAAGACTTTATTATCCCATTTTATAAAAATAACAAAGTCATATTTTATACAACGAGAACATTTATGTAATTTCATAAATTTAATCCTAACCAATTAATATTATCACACAAGTACACAAATATACAAAATTCATTTACATCCACAACCTAATATCAATCTCCCCAATTAATCTCACCGTACTCATGATTTCATTCAATTTAATTCAATAAACAAACATGACCCAACAAATTCAATCTTAATCCACTCACGAGAAGCATATGCTTTTTTGTAATTAAATGATAGGTTGATGAGTTTTTTTACTTTCAGAATGATAAATTCACAACTAAAAATTACATGTGTGTATAGATATATATATATATCTGCAAAAATTTTATGTAGG